CGTCGCATGAGACTGTACGCATGCGCAATCAGCTCACGTCACCTGCACGTGTGCATTCGCTATCGTGGTTTCATTATTTCCTAGTGTGATGGCTCGCCCTATTCTCATCGATGTTGGAATGGCCGAACAGCTTACAGCATTCGGGTTGCAGCAAGGTATCAAAAGCATACCATCTCGCTCGACGAGGAAGCGAAAAGCCAGAGCCAAGCTAGCTGCGAGAGTGAGAGATGAGCGCTTCAAAGCTGGACCATTTTGGTTCAAGCTGCTCATTTCTGAAGCAACCGCCGGCGTCATCATGGGTCACGGTGGCTCGACGCTCATCAGTCTGGAGAAAGAGACCTTGACGGCTATCAAGCTATCTCCCTATGGGTCATATTTCGCCAATTCTAACCTACGGGTGCTTATCGTAGCTGCTCCCAGTTTGGAGGCGATGAAGACTGTCGTTATGAAGATCGTCCACGACTACATACTGGCTGACACTGCCGTCCAGTCGGTTTACGTATGTCTTGGCAGTCCTACAGCTATAGAGCTAGCCCAAGCTGCTGACCCCAACATGTCAAGTGATGAACCTGTGTTGCAGCATGGAGAAGAAGCAGTTATAGAGGTTTCTATAGCAACTCATGGTGCTGATAGGAGTTTTACCTCCCTCGCTTGTGCGTCTATCGCTGTAGCTATACAAACTGATCGCTCACACTTGGCCAATACCGTAAGGCTCGTATATGACCCTTTGGCTATCCTTCGAGGAGATATTGATGCCATGGTGGATGCTCACTTCTGTAATATTGTTTTCGAGTGCAGCAACGCTTTACCACCAGCGTTGTTCACATGGCTTTCGAAGAACTGCCATGTGGAGGTCGGTATCGAACCAGTCCTTTCGGGTGAGAATGATACTCGTTTGGTCTGTATCCAGGGCACTTTGGATGGTGTCCATTCAGCACTACGCGCTATTGTACTCATGTCTTCTATTTGATTCCGACTCGATACATTTTTTCAACTTTTTTCAACTGCCGATGACCAAAGCATGCGACACTAGAAGAAGCGTGTTCTTTAAGTGATATAGTGGGCTTCCTGCCAGCTTATTTGTTATTATACGTCCGCGATTCCCGCCCCCCTGCGTCGTCGTCTTAATCTAAGATGATGAGTCGCTGGGTAACGTTTCTCGCGTGGAAATACGTCGTGGACTCGGCCACAGCTCCCACATTATGAATTGATTGGAATCATTGTCGGTACTCAACGGACCAAAGCGCCTGTTTCGGTTAACAACTCGTTGACGGATCATCTTGTTTGTTGCGTTAGTCGTTTAGAGTTCAGTCTTGTGATACTAGACTGGCGTCTCCTTAATACCCCTATAGTTACCGTACGGCAGAGATCAGCCCAGACAGTGACGTGAGTGACATTCAATGGGTGTGTTTCGCTGCGGGGAAACCCAGCCCTCCAGCTCCGCCGTAATTGCAATAAACAATCTCAACAGACAGACGTAATTCATATTCGAACCCAACGAGTCGAAGGGATCGAGCGCTTCGAACACACGGCTGTAGTGAGGAATATGTGAATATTCTAATTAAGACAGGCAAAGGCAAAACCCGACCGGCAATATCCATTTCGCTGATGGTCCTTCGTACTCATTTTCTCATCTTCCAAATTCCAGTAGTAGCTTTGCAGCAGATCAGAGTTTTAGTTTCCCCTGAGTGAGTCTCCCCGAATGGGTACAGATCTATCCTCGATACCAGTCTCTAGACCACAATAGCGTGGTCCGCGTAAATAGATTCGTTATTCTTTGTAGTCCATGTGCTTATTCTCCATCAATGCTCACTCGTTTCCCAGTAATTCTATTTGCAACTTCAGCGCTTGCGGGAAGAGCTGGTCAGGAGCTGCTTACTATGGATGTGCCTTTGGACCACTTTTCACTTGTCGCCAAACAGCCAACTATCCCCTTACACTACTGGCTTGATACTGAGCATTACGATCCTGCTAAGGACCAATGTGCTATTTTCTACATCATGGGTGGAGAGAGTCCGCTCCCTGAGTCGGGAGTGATCTATCCCTTCATCTCGGAAAGGTTGGCTCGCGAACACAATGGTCTCGTCATCGAGAGTGAACACAGATTTTATGGAAGCTCGATACCACAATCCTACGAGAAGTCCTTACCGTATTTATCCGTTGAGCAAAGTCTTATGGATCATGCTACAGTTCTGCGACATACTCTCGAAACGGTTGAGAATGCGAATCGATGCCGTGTGATCGCTGTAGGTGGCAGCTATAGTGGTTTCTTGGCTCTTGCTTTCCGTCTGAGGTATCCTAAATTGGTATATGCTGCTTACGCTTCTAGTTCACCAGGTAGATTGTACTCCCAGGAGGCCTCTCGCTTTGATGGTAGATATTACAGTCGTGTAACTGATGCTGCCGATAGCATTCGTTCTAATTGTTCCAATTCGGTTATTAAAGCCTTTGACGACTTCGTCCACCGTTACGCTGGAAGGGTCACTTTTGAGCAGGCCAAGAACGAACTTAAAATTTGCAATCCCGAAGTCTTTGGTAGGGAGGATGGCTTGTTCGAGGAGCTCGTGCAAATGGTTCGAATGGAGTTCTCCGGTGCTAACATGGCAAGTTATCCACCTAGCAGCAATTCACCTACCTACATGTTATGTACAATGGTGGAACAATCAGGCATTGCGGGTATCTTCGAAGCAATGACCCAAGGTAGAAGGTGCGTTGATGTTACTCAGCATTTACCCTCTCCTAATAAACATGGTGTTTATTCGGCTTCGTGTGGAGATTGGACTGGTTGTGGGGTCGGACGAGCTGGACGGTCTTGGGATTGGCAAACGTGCACTCAGCTTGTGGAACATATTTCTAGTTATGGTCCTCCATCCGATATGTTCCCTCCTCGAAGGTTCTCCGTGGATCAATGGCTTAACGCTTATTGTGAAGAGTCTTTTGGGAACAACGTCTTCCACAACTTCTCCGATACTACTCGAGAGCATCGACTCAACGACCTATGGGGCTTTGATGAGGCCAC